ACACACACACACCTCCACACACCTCCACACACTCCAGCCACCCACCCACCCACTTACCGTCGGTGAGTGTTTGGAAGAGCATGTCCTTGCTGTAGGCTCCGTAGCCGGCCACAGTGCGAGCCCTCACCTGCACCACGTAGCCGGTCCCAGGCCTCAGCCCCTCCAGAACAACATTGGGTGTTTCGCTCTGGACCACTGAACTGTTCAGCTCTGACGACTGGGACTAAAGAGAAGGTTGAGAGACACATTAATATGTTTCACAGCAATCCAAGACAGACTGTAATACTTCTTCAGTCACAGACTAAGAGAGACTAAATTTAGTACTCAGTTTTGGCCTTCGGCTAAGGCAAGATAAATTCTTCCAAAGTTTCAGTCCAAACTGAGACATTCACCATTTTCAGGCTGTGACATGAAGACATCCTGGCAGGATGGTGTAACTGCAACATCTTGAGTTTGAATTCATTGTGGATCTTTGTCACACTGTGCCAGTCTCATCACATTCTTTGTCTTTTTCCAACAATAAAAAAGAACTGTTTAAATACCCTCAACTAACTTTTGTTTCTGCGCTCACACACTTAGAGATATCTACCTCCACACTAATACAATGCAGGTGAATGAAATTTCATTTGTGGTACTGAGATCATAGAAAGATTACATATAAAAAACATTTTTTTCAAGAGATATTGTCCCAGTTATTTACTGACGTCGGTTACATATTTTCCATTGAAGGAAAGTGACTATGAAAGTAAAGAGGTATGTAGATTGTCCATGACTGGGTCTTGTTGCCATAATTTATTTCCAAAAGATATTTTTTTGTGTGTTTCTAGCCGTGAACCAAGTAAAAATCTCTTCACATTCATTGTATTGGGCTGGGGGCAGAAATCTTTTGGAAACTTCCTCAAAACCTTGGCACATAAAACCAAAACATTTTGTGTTTGAGTGAACTGACCCTTGAACAGTAACTTAATATGAGGATGAAAACCATTTTTTTTTTACTGCCTTCCCTGCCTTCAAGTTTAAACTCTTTTTGCACCTCTGAGAACATCCAGCGTCACTGATGTGGTCAGTTTGCTCGGTTGCATCTGCTACCACACCTAAAAGTTAGAAGCTGTTGTTAAGTTGCTCTTTCAGTGGTAGCCTAGCCTTGTTTTAATATGTAATTAATGTAATTGCTCTATAACAGCAGAAGTAGATGGCTATTTGATGGATATTTAAAAAACCCTTTGCAAAAATAGTCTACATTTTACTCAGATAAGTCAAATATCAAATAATTTGATAATTCAAAGACCTCTCTATGAACAGTTTTTTTTTTGGGGAGTGATACTAAGTTATCGCAATGAAAAGTAAGTTCTGTAGAGATACTGGGTCATTGTTTCTGGAAAGACACGTTGCAATTAAATTTTGTAAATGTCAATGTCACAAACAGAATTCCATTTACTACCATTTCACTCGGGTAGTGATGGAGAGGAAGCGAAAAGGGCATAATTCAAAACCTCGGCACATAAAACCAAAATTATCTGCAATGCAAGACACCACAAGGGTTGAAAAATAAAAGATGTTTCCCTGTAATTTCCATGCTCTTTATCACATTCTTATAATTTCTGAAGCACATTTCTGACCTCACACTTCTCTACTCCACCTTAAATCTCCTTCTGCTTCCCTCACTCCTCCCATCTGACTTCCAATCGTCAGTCATTTTGTCCACAACTACCTTCTTCATGACTTCTGGCTCTGTTCCAACCTCTTTGACCTAGTCTTGTTAAAATATAACAAACTCATAATACAGTTAATTAGCTATTGCCCACAGAGACAGATCCACCAGAGTATCTGGTCTCCTTTTGGCCCACTTCTCTTCCTGAGGTGAATTAGGTATCAGACCTATCAGGCCAATCTCATAAACCCAAGGCTACAACCTTTTACCTCTATCTTTCTATGCCCTCCTTCTATGCTTCCTCTCACCCATTTCTTTCAGATAAAAAGGTTTTACTGCAGCAAAATCGAAACGGTCCAGAGGGAACGACAGATATGGTGTGGTGATGGTTTGAAAGGAGGGGGAGGAAATCATGCCGTGAGGATGAAGGAGGTGGAGGGGTCGGTGGCAGAGGAGAGGAAGAGAGATGATGATGGTGATGAGGAGGAGAGTTCAGGAGGGAAAAGATTGAGAAGAAAGTGAGGGTTAGGGGTGGAAAGATAGAGGAAGAGGGAGGCGCATGAAAAGAAGACATAAAGAAAATTATTGAGTTACCATTGTAATTTTTAATAAATACCAATTTGCTCCTCAATGGTCTTGAACCCATTTTGTTACAGCTTGTGGGTATCTTTATTGTTACTATTATATGACATGTCTTGTGTCATTTATTAGTGTTAAATCCTGTGTTAATCCAGTACCTTGATACATTGCATTTAACATCATTACGCTCTAATTTCTTAGTAGTGGACTGTTGATATACTCTGACCAGCCAGACTATTATTGTCATAATTAGGACACGACACAAGGACAACTACAGAGTTTTCAGTGTAAAAGCTGTGAGAGAATAAGATAGAGAGTTATATTTGGAAGTGGCCATAGAAATGGGGGTATTGTGTCGGGTTGGGGTTTGGATTTGGAGGTGTGTGTGTGTGGGGGGAGCTATGCTCTCCATAGTGAAAAGGTTAGGGGGCAGCCCATCTGGGAAGGTCTGGAAGCCAGAGATAAGTAATGGGTAAAAATCCTGCCTCCCTGTGCCATATCAAATTTACTACATTAAAACCTCATTATCTGTACAGTGACTATGAGGGGAGCAGGGTTGGGGGAGGGATGGAGGAGAAGATGGAGGGAGTGAAGGTGGAGAAATGACAAAGTATCTGAAAAGGAGGTACAGTACAGCTGTCTGAAAAACATGTCCTCTCTCTCTCCAGCCTTATCAAACTGCTCCCTGAGGACTTCTTCACTTGAAGCTATGAGCTAAAATTAGTCACTTTATGTGGTTGGCTTGTCTACAGTGTAAGATACAATATTTCTCCCTTCTTAAGATATGTATCAAGGAAGAATAATGAAAAGAAGAAACAATGGAAGAACAAACTGTCAGCTTTTGAGTCTGGGTCTTAATTGGCTTCCATGTTAAACAATGTTAAAGCAAAGGCAGCAGCAAATAAGGCCGACTAACAGTTAAGTCACTGCCCTGATTTTGACAAAGTAATGGTTTTATCTGTGACTGTCAGACGGCTGCTACAGTACGTCTCTCAGTAAGTGCAGTTCTTCTGACTCTGTCCTAAACTCACTCTAATTGCTCTCAGAGAGGCAAAATCTATAAAAACTCTCTCTTTCTGCTATTCTCCATCTTTCTCCAGAACTTCACTTTTACCAAAACCATGGGAAGTAGGGGTGTAAAGGGATTTTCCGATCTGCCCCCTTTAAAGTTGAGGTTAGGGACAGATAGTGGTCATGGGTGAAAGAAACTAATGCTCTCTGTTGGTAGGAAACTGGATGTAAACCACGTTTTCTCGTGACAAAGTCAGACTATTTGTACAACCAAACTTCAACCTCCTAAGAGGTTTTGCAGCATTAAAACAGTGTCACACTGCTTCTGCCATTGCTTCTGAGAGAGGACGTCACTATTTGCATGAAAACTTAAACATAATAGATTTTAGGCACTTCAACAAGCAACAATGCTGCTGTTTTTCGGGTGAAGACAGCAAACAGTTAATATCTGAACTACAGTGAGCTCCGCACAGCAGAACCTGCAAGTGTTTTGTCTTTGATTCAACAGATGCATTCTTCTTCTTCAATTGGGGATGAAAATGCTGTCAATGTACCAAAATTCTGAGTTAATGGCATTGAACTTTTCTTTCATCTAATGATCGAGAGGAACTTAACTTAGTGAGCTCATTAAGTAGCCATTTCAAATGGGTGTGAAGTACAGACGTAAAGAGCCATCATTTCTATATAATATGTAAAAAAAAATGTTTGTAATAATGGTAGGACTTGTAATCGATTTAGATGGTGATATATTTTATTGGATACCAATATTATACTGCGACATACAATTCAATATAGTTTGCGTTATTGGCATGAGATGCACAATATTGCAAACATCAATTATAAAAGTAACAATTTTTGATCTTGTATGCACAAGTGCTTCTGGTTCTAACATTACATACTTAAAGTCACAAACCAGCATACATACATTTGTACGTGATTTTGTTGAAAGTTGAAGATGCTATATTTATCAAAAATATATACATAAAGGAAAGCAGAAATAGTATAAAAAAAAAAAAAAATCTTATATAATGAGAACAGTTAGTACTGGCCGGTTGCATGTATTTAGTTTAGTTATGGGATTTACCAATAATATTGTGCACATACATGGACCCAAGAGAAGCAAAAACACCATAACAATAAAAATGGCACACAAAACATGCATTCTCTCTTTCCCTTCCCTTTTGCAGCACAGCAAAATTATAGCCATATACTACACTGTGCTGGGAAATTGGAATCTGTGAGCAAGCCCTCTGGAGTCACGGGCTTTAGGACTGTGCTTCAGTGTTTTCATCAAAGAGAATAGATAAGAAAAAAGAGTTGACATGAGTCTTGAGCATTTAAAGCTTGTAGTTTTGTTTGTATCTCAAAGTTTTAGTGAGTTATGGAAGCACCAACTCACTGACAGTAGGTATTAAAAAGACAAAATGATCGCATAGACTCGAAGTGGTATCCCAAAAAATGCCAAAAACTATTTTCTTCAGCTTTGTAAAAAGAATTGGAAGATGGCAGGGAATCAACTGTGGGCTGTGGATGAGGAGGCATGCTGTTCTTTTTGGTGTATCTCACACAATCCCTTGTAGGTGCTTTGCTCTTTGTTTTTAATCTGTCTGCAGCGTAAGTCTATCTGTTTTTGCAGCTGTTGGCTCAGCTTCAGACAAGATGAGTATATTCTTATGTTTGGCTTTGGGTAATAGATATGCTTTTAATTTAACTTTGAGTTTCCAAATGCATTGTGCTACCCACTGACTGAATTAAAATGAAGACAAGAGAGTTTTCTTTCCTAAAGGAGCAGTTTTTGACAGGAAAGCAATCAGGCCCTGCACGTTTCATTCCCGAATCAGAGCCCCTCATTGCCCTGGGTTTGACATCCTTTATGCGGGCTAATTTGATCACTGGACTCTGGCAGTGAAGTTGTGCCTCAGTCTCCTGATACATACAGACGAGGAACTTGCTACAGGACAGCTGGAGGCTTGATTACTTCAGTCGGACAGCTTCACAGAGCAGAGACATAGGAGTTTTGATTTCAGCAGCATCCACTAGCGGATAAATTGGTCCTTTTGTCTTGTCTTTAAAGGTCCAGTGTGTAACATTTAGGAGGATCTATTGGCAGAAAGGAAATAAAATATTTATAGGTATGTTTTCATTAGTGTGTAATCACCTCAATACAATAATCGTTATGTTTTTGTTACCTAAGAATGAGCCTTTTTTGTCTACAGACACCATGGGTTGTCTTCCATGGAGCCAGCCATGTTGAACTGCCATTTTTCT